TTTCTAGTCATGAGCTGCCCCTCTCACATCTTGAATTTTCTAGCACAGAGAGGCAACATTGTAAGCTGGTGTTCTATTGGTTAAGACCTCCTAAGAGAAAAATTCTTATGGAGTCGGTCTGCTTCATTTTATTCTGTTTTACGAATTTAGATATTATTAGTGATTAGAGACATAATTTAATGAGAAAAGAACCTCTAAAAGATAACGGGAAAGGGGAACGTGATGGTATTCCTTTTACAAATGGCCTAAAATTGCCTCCCTGTTTTCTGCTGTATTCCACTTTTATACAACTGTTTCCACAGTATTAAGCTTAATTTTTTGTATTTACAAAATTCAATAGTATTCCACAATGTACACTAATAATAGCCCAATATGATCTATTGTGAAATGTGTCTGTAGTTCAATTACAAAAAATTTTCCTTAAATATTATTATTATTAAGGTTTTTAAAAACACATAGTGGTAACTACCAAAAAGCAATTGGTAAAATTCAATAATTCCTAATACAGATTCTTGAAAAAAGGAGAGAAAGATATAACCTTAGCATTAAACACACACACACACACACACACACACACCTCAAGCATACATGCACATTTCAGAAATTAACATCCAATATATTTAACAAGGGAACATGAAATAATTCCATTAAAATGAGACCAATAGTAAGCTAACAAAATCAATGCTGCTATTTAACTTAACCTGAATTTTGAAAAAAAGTTACACTACCATAGATATGGTATTTGGTTTATAAGCATCTTTGGTGGGCTAGGTATTTTTTTTAACAAGTGTGGCAGTTTATTAAGAACTAATAAGCTAGATATTCAAATTGGAGGCATCATCAGATTTGGATGTGGAGATGAATCCTTTAGTATCCTCTCTCTTGATTAGGTCCTTGACTGTTCTTTGGCAGCAAATATTTCTGTGCATTTCTATACATGATAGGATTGTAATTTCGATTTTCTGAAACTGACTTTCATTTCTGCTTCTCCAGATAAAATTAGTAGCCCTGTATTTTCTCCTTCTCCTTCTCCTTCTCCTTCTCCTTCTCCTTCTCCTTCTCCTTCTTCTTCTCCTTCTTCTTCTCCTTCTCTTTCTCCTTCTTCTTCGGCGGGGTACCAGAGATTGAACTCAGGGGTACTCCACCACTGAGCCACATCTGCATCCCTATTTTATATTTTATTTAGAGACTGCCTTTGAACTCATGATCCTACTGTCTCAGCCTCCAGAGCTGCTGAGATTATAGGCCTGTGCCACCTCACCCAGCTAAATGTTCTTCTTAGTAAAATTATTGACCCCATATAAATGTTGTAGCCAGTCCTAGCCTCAGCACATTCACAGTACAGCTTCAGCAATGAGATCTAAACTTGTCCTACACAATGTAGCAGAGCAGTGAA